TCTGCAAGGGCGGGGTAGCCGGGGTTGGGCGGCCTCGGGGGCCGGGCCGGCAGGGGCGGAACGGGAAGACGTGGAGAGACGGACACAGAGACCGACACAGAGACCGACACAGACCGTATGTGTCTTCATCATCGCTGCCCCGCCTTACTCGTGACTGTCACTGTCGATGACGCACGCTGCCTAATTTCTCAATTAATTTTTTCCCAGCACCAAGGACGCAGCCCAGGCCCTTTTCATTTTCCACCTGGAGATGCTACTGCGCGGAGTCACTAAGTTGCCCAGCCTGGGTTTGAAATTGTGATGCTCCTGCCTCGGCCTCCCGGAGTGGGGCGGCGGCGAGAGCTGGGTGCCGCGAAACCTGGCTTGCATTGAATTAAATTTTCTTTGTTTTTCCTTGTCGTGGGTCCGTGTCTGCACTGCGTCCTGGACGAGCAGCGTCGTTCTTTTTTACGCCCCCGCCCTCCATCTCCCGGTCCCCGCCCTACCTGTATCACCTACCCTTGCCTTGACTCTTTATTTACGCTTTGGAGAGAAACCACGTGGCCCCGAGGCTCGTGTGCCTGATTTGTTTCAGTTAACACCCTCGTCTCGAGGTGCCTCCGTTTCCCTACTCGTGACTCTAGCCCACCCTTCTTCGTGGCTGTGTAGTACTCTGCTGTGAGTCAGCACCGCCCTGTCTCTACGCGTCCATCTGCTGATGGACACAGAGGCTGCGTCCGAGAGTCGCTGTGGTGCCGCGGGACACACGGGTGTGCGCGGAGCCCTGTGACCGCAGGTGCTTTACTCACTGTTGCCCTGCTGTCCTGACGAATGAAATCCACAGCCCGGACACAGGGGTCTGGGACCTGAGCCCCATCCGCCGTGTTTACCTCCGGATGAAGGCCTGGGCCTCCCGCAGGAGCAGCTGGGTGCTGCGGTCCAGGTCCATGGGCTGCCCGGTGACCTCGTGGTTCCGCATGACGATGCAGTTCCAGCGCCGCACAAACCCCGAGCTGCAGGACCAGCAGAGGAAGAGCAGGAGGCTGAGGCAGGCCGCGCCCAGCACCACTTTCCACGGCACGGGCAGCAGGCCGTGCACCTTGGCGGCCAGCAGGGTCAG